AAATTTGGGACCACGAGCACGAGCGTCCTCTCTCGACCACGGCTTAACCAACTGTCCAAACTTCAGATACACTCAAGTGAAGCCATGCATGTTTGAAATTGTGCCAAATCAAATCGGCTTCGTCATTTATTCAGTAGATATTAGATTGGTTTTCGTCGTACGAAACGAAAACGATGCCAATAAGAAAGCTCGATTAAAATTAAGTGGCAAGTTGCAATAATATAATATAATATATATGCTTTTAATCTAAGTAAACATTTCATACCTCATTCCAACTATATCTAGGTGCTCATTCTATAGGTAGTTTGACAGTTTGAGAACGGATATAAACTAATAGAACTTCCTGTCGTGGATTATCTTGCTTCCATCACTTATCTGAGACCTTCAACGAAAACGCTTAATCACACGTTACCTGCGAACCAACACGGAAGTTCTTCATCTACACCAGTGGTTCCCAAAGTGGGCGATATCGCCCCCCTAGGGGCGGTGGAAAGATTTTGGGGGGCGGTAAGGAAGAAGAGGGCGTTTGGGGGAGGGGGGGGGCGCTAGAAGTTCACTAGGGAGCCAAAGGGGGCGCCAGCCTGAAAAAGTTTGGAAACCACTGATCTACACTAATTGAAGAATTGGTCGCAGAAAATATGTAATGGATTTACCCTCCAAATGAGAAGCCGTGCCTCAGCTTATGGCTGCAAGTTTAATGACCTATAGATTGTTATAAGCAGTTTCGCTGCATACGATAGCAATGCCACTGTTGCCATTTATTTTTCACAACGAGAATACCAGATTACCTAGCTCAAAATGCCAGAAATTCGATTGTTCAATAACAGACTAATACCCCCAATTTTGATGGGATTATTCGTCAGAAACGTTGGTAAGAAAAAGAAAAGTCATTTTTTATCTTTTTCACAGTGCATTTATCTGGTTTGACGAATAATTAGCCAAATTGAACGCGTTATAATTTTTCCCTTTGTTTGAAACATTCTGAAATTTTCTTTTCCTGCGTGTGATTACAGTGACACTTTTTCCGTTTTTTATCACAGTGTGGCACTTCTTCCCCATCACTCAAGATGAGGAAGCCGCGGAAACATGTCATCGTCCTTATCTTCGTACATGCTTGTATTGCATTTATCTAACATTTCGAGTGTGATCACAAAATTGCGGCAACACTTATTGCAGCTGAGCAGATAACTTTTTTCCGAATAAAGGACAGTACCTTAATTGAAATTCTCTTTCGTTGCTTGTTTTTCACATAGGTGACTTGTGAAAACACTCGCTCCACGAATGCATTGGTGAGGTAAAAGTAGACAAGTGATGCAGTGGTCAGCCAGTTCCATGAATGGATGATGACTTTCAAGATCAGTGAAACCTAGAATGTCACTCCAGAATTCTAGTGGCTCTCCAGAATTCAAATCAGCCAAACAGAAACGGTGGAGCTTGCGTCGCAGAGATCGGTGCGGCAACCTCACTCGTCAAAGGCGGCAAGGCCATTTCATCACTGATCAGTAATCAATCAAGAATCATCACTCTCTTGCACTAAGCACTTTAGTTACATGTTAACATTTAGATTGGAGTTATTTCATCAAGCGGTAATCTCGCAGTTCCAAAATGGCTGTAACGGTAATCGCGGCTAAAGGTTTACCTTCTCGCGGGTCTAAAGGTAATCTATATAATCTACGCCTAGATTTGTAAAATCTGGTATAGAAATATACCAGTTGGCAACGCTGAGCAAGGCAATCAACACGACTCGGTTCAGTTGAGAGCAGAACATTTGTTTGTCACGCGAGGGCAAAAGTGAGACTTGAGCAACCTCATATGTACTATAACTTTTTAATTTTCTATATATTTTTGTATAGACGCCGGATGAAATCGTTTCTACTCGTAGTTATTGCTGAACTTGTGCATATATGTTGAAGCTCATGTATTTGTTTCAAGCATTACGTATAGCATCTCATATATTGGGCTGTCCGGGGTTGTGTCGACCTTCTCATAGTGACGGGATATTCTCTGATTTTGAAATTTTATTCTTGGGGGCGATTCATAAGAATTTAAAAACATGCAGCGGAATATTGAATCATTAAATTGGAATTGACTCTTATTTCCGTTCGTTAAATTTTATTCAACCATAAAACATCAATAAATCGTTCAGAATTTCACACTGAAGGCTGAATGGGAGTTCAATGCTAAATGGTGATTGGAACGAGCATTCTTTGAATAACGTTCGTTTGTTCCAAATATATTAACTGGATACTGGATGACTGTATTCGGAGTAACTGAATTCGGGATGACAGGATGATGGAATACTTGATTGTATAAAATTGCAGAGATGAAGCGTGCAGCTAGGGAAGCATAAAAACTAGATTCGTTCGTTTTATCTTTGTTAATCACTTTAAGGAGATACCTAATTTATTTTCCGAAAAATGTGCTGATTTCGACATCTGTAGCGTCTCCAATTGAATAAAAAAGATTATAATGGATTGTTAAACGTAAACTAAACATATTCAGCTTTAGAAATTTTTTTTCGGTAGTTATAAACTGGGTAGGTTCCAGCCATGCATATGAGCGAATTTTTTGTTTTATGGCGAACTTTTGCAGAAAAATGTCTTAAGTAGGGTAAGAAAACATCGAATAACTGTTAAAGTTAAGTTAATTCAGTATGAATATATTCGTAGCATTTCACGCTGAATATTCATTCTGACACACAAGTGAGAGTTGAACAATAATAACTAAGTGAATACGATAGCATGTATATAATAGCATTTCATGGTACAGTATATGCATTTAGGCTTGTGCTCATTTCAATTGACAACCTGATAGATGGTTATTAACTAAAGAAGCTTATAATGAGTTCAGGTCGATCATTCTGAAATTGTCAAGAGAATTTGATACACGAGGTCACTCCATAGATAACTCCATGAAAACTGATGACAGCGGATAACATAAAATTGCATTTTAGAAAACTATCTTCATGTCTATTGCATGTCAAAAATCACCAGAAATGAGGAAGTATATGCATTTAATTGAAATTATATATGTGCTATAACATGATAACTTTACTATAATAAATATGAAAGCTGTGCTATAATTATGAAAGCTGTGCTATAATTATGAAAGCTGTACTATAATTATGAAAGCCTGTACTATAATTATGAAAGCTGTGCTATAATTATGAAAGCTGTGCTATAAATATGATAGATGTGCTATAATTATGAAAGCTGTGCTATAAATATGATAGCTGCGCTATAAGTATGATATTTATGCTATATTTATAATAATGATAATTTGATAAATTTTTTCGATTTCAAGACGGAATCGCCTGCCACAACAAACTTGATTTTCGTGGAAAAGGCAACAAATTTCGGGTCGAAAAAAATAATCACAATTGTTCACTAATTTTATAATGGACACTAGAAGTTTTATCTCATTGAAATAAATGATTCGTACATATACTGGAATCCCTAAACATTACTATCAATTCGAAACGAAGCTTAATTCATTTATGAGACTCATGATTTTCAACGGTGATCAATTTGACGCTACCACTAACAAGCCTATTAAAGTGGGAATCTTTCCATTATTACGTCTCCAGTACGCATTCAATGTCCCTTGCACAGCACACACACGGGAAATTCCTGGTCGGGGCTGAACGAATCAAGAATTTAAATGACAGCTGTAAAAACTACGTCCTAATGTAAAGTACTACTTACAAACATGAAAATGCAAAGAACAAGGAGTAAATATTAGTCTTCAACATCATTTAATCCCAATTCGACAACGAACCTAAATGAAGCTTCTAAAACTATATTCCATACCATAACTACATCGCCATGACACATGAAAAATGTAACCTAACTGAAATGCCTGCTTTTCCACTGTCATTTCCTAGTTAACAATAATCAAGGTAGTCTTCACTTTTGAAGGACTCGCTCAGTCAGGACTTGGGAATTCTCTAAAATTATATCGTAGATCTGGCAATTTAATCTGACTACCTTGCAAACGTTCCTTAATTGTTGAAAAATCATTGTCGAACAAGATCGTAAACTTATTTACAAATTTCTGCATGGTTTAGACTAAAACGTCTGCAGAAATAGAAAGATGAGCTTGTGCACAACTCCTGCAATTTTCGAGTGCCTTCAAGTTAAAAGATTACTTCAGTGTTTTTGTTTTGTTAGTAATTTTTTATCGATACTGTGTTCAGCAATGTACTGTAGTTCGAGGTTTATTTTTTGTATAACCCCACGGCCAACGATGAAAGCCGCTTGACCACCTTCTCATGCCAAAGTTACAGAGCTAGCGAAGCCGCACACATGAAGAAAAGTGTCCACGAACAGTCCACATCCGATAACTTGGCGTCAGCGGTGTAGAGATGACCGCAGTCACCGCCGTCGGGTTGTCCAGGATACCAGTCTGGCATGGTGTACGGGTTCCTGTAGCTGTTGAGCCACACCCACTGACCATTGATCTTGTAGCTGCCTACCCACAAGTACTCACCTGCACACATAGTAGAACAGGTTCAAGTGACTGCCCGTATAATTCGTATTTAGAGGCACCACAAGACGAGTGACCGCGCACAATGGTTTGTTCTCCTGTGATGTAACCACTTATTGAGATGTACATGCTACGGAAATATAATGTAATTTCACTCTAATTAAAGACCAAGATTTAATCCTCTAATTAGTAGCACATTCACCGGAATGACCTCGTGCACTCACGAGCGTTACAAAAGTTCGAGCACCTCCCAACAATCTACAAAAGATTAAAAATCTAAATTCCGCTATGGTCTACTAAATTAAAAATCTTCTGTCCTGTTAATCGACTTAAATATACTTTGTTTTTATGAAACACTAAGTTCGATCTCAAACAGGAGCCTACAGGAATATAAGTAGAAATCCCTGGCACAACGCATGTGATATCGTTAATCAAGACCAGTTACTCCCTTTTCTGCCAACACACCTGGCATTCTTCTTACTATCTTTTCTGCCGACACACTTGTCATTCCAGTTACTCCCTTTTCTGCCAACTCACCTGTCATTCCGTATGACTTCCAGAGCGTTTGCATTTGCGCGAAGTCTTGGTCGGAGCGCGCGGTGGCGAGGTCTGCTCCCAGTGACAGGCAGTATGCACGCGCGTCGCACCAGGTTTTCTTATTCGTCGTGTAGACCATGAGACACATGCCACCAGAGACGGTGAAAGGGGAAGTGCAGTTCCGAAGAGGCACAGTTGATTCTGATGGCAAGAGATTGAAGCTACGCTGAAATATTGCAAATTTACGATTAGATGTAAGACCTGGGCCTATAATTTCAAAACAAGTTAAGAGATCGTAAGTTCATCAGCCAATCATTGACGGCCTTTCAAGCAAAATCCACCAATCATAGACAAGAAAATAGAGCGTAAGTACTTACGAGCTTCATCGATGATCATTAGGATTATCCCTACGCTTCGTTGAATTTGTCTTTGTTGTTCTATAGTTGAATGAACGATGAGGTAGCAACGATTGGAGGGGATCCTGCCATTGATACAAAACATGTAGCAGTTACCGTGTAATTCCGTTTCGTCAAACTCACTGTCCACGTCCATCATCCCACTGGGCAAACATGTGTCCTGCAGTTTCGGGCATAACGGGTTGGCTCGCGTTTCTCCGACTTTCAGGTGAGAGTTTCCTTCTAGGACACAAGCTGTAAAAAAACGAAAATGCGACGAAAGGCATGTACAAGAAGTGCAAATACAAAATTTCAAATTTCGACATCACACTTTCACCATAGTTGAATGATAAGCAACTCGTTTCGATTTAGCTGATTATGTTTTGTTCATGATACGATTAATTTAGATTTTTCGGCAATGCCCACGTAAGCTAGAATGATTTGGAGTTGAAGCTTGTTGCAAAAGATGCGATATTAAAATAAAATTATTATGATCGGATAAATTCAATTTTTCCGTTCTAATGTTTAAATCATTAGTTCCCAAAAATATTGTATGCATGTAACGAGTTCAGCAATGCAAGAAAGTCTAAAATTTATATATCGTTACCTTCTCTTTAAGTATCAAATAATGTGCTGGTAAAACCTGGCTTTGTGATGCAATCATCGTAAGGAGCATTGCAGCCTTCATTAAAAAAACTCGATTTGGACGCTTTTGACTTTTTGGATCTTGATCGAAGTCTATGCTATATACAGGTGAACAGGATGACGATCATATTAACCTTTTTTAACCTTTTTAATAATAACCTTTTTACCTTTTTTAACCTTAAAGCGAGTATTTTAAATTCAAGTTAAATCATTTACTTAATAATTATAACATTGGTGTGCGAAGGTTATAACACGTTATAAGGCAAATGCATAAATTATGCCATTATTCCGATACGATTAATCTTAACAGTAATTTTTTGGCAGAAATAATTATCTTTGTATAGTGTGGATATTAGATGCGGGTATAGCATTATTCTAAAATTAAATGAGTATATTTTGTAGCCGTCACTTTTAGGCATCTCGTGTAGCATTCGTTCATGTGAGTAGTTTTCAGTATCCCTACTTCAACACGTGACATTTCTTATCTTGACTCTGACCGGTTCGGTACGGCGAGGAGACACTTGATATATTATCACATTAGGAATCTATTTTGTCGGATCTTTGCTTTTAATAGGCGTTACTCCTATATGTAATAGTGGATTTGCCCTTTGTAGACCTATGCAATTAGATTTCAAGATGTAGCTGCAGCCTTTAACTCTAGTTTTTGGCTTTGTTGAATGTCGGCGAACCTTTAGTTCTGCTAAATCCAGACTGTAAATCTTCTGTGTTCCATTTGCCACGTTTCATTGACATTGCATGAATTAAACCTTTGTCAGAAAACGTTAAGACCGTCGTTAGGATGGTTCGTAACCAACCGGTGGCCAGATACTAAAAACCAGCGGTTACAAATGTCAATATTAAATGTAGTTAACTGACTAAGATTCGTTTTTGGACGATATTAGTTTGAATTTTTTTAATCAAACTCGGTATGTTTAAGAATACCCATAAGAGCCTGAATTTCATGAGAGCGTAACCTTTTAAAGACTAACCGTCTGTACCGAAGACTGCCAAGCAGTTTGATCCTGGGGTGATCGTTAGGTCGACCAGCCCATTCCTGATGGGTTTGTCATCCCAGAGTGAGCAGTTTCCCGAGGCGTTGGTGAGAGGGATGTAACAGGCAATAAAAGCCCAGTCCTTTGTAGAGGCCCAGTTCCAGCACAGCGATCGAGACCGAAGAACACGCGAGCTGTTTTGCCCATTAAAAGTGGACAACACAGCAGGGTCTGCAGACACCGGCATCCACTCTTTGTAGCGACCAAGACCCTCTCGCACTAGCCCCAACCCGACTATCAGTAGAGCAATTCCTATCTGCATCTCGAGTCACTATTGCTTCACTTCAGTTTGTATCAATAGGAAGCTATTTCTCACATTCACGCATCGCTTTTAGCAATACTTTCTTACATTGCTTTCAGCAAAAGGCCAGTCTTTTACAACACTTCTCTTTAACTTCACTTCTTCTTGTTTGTTTGTTTGTCTGCTACAAATCTTATAATCGATATTTAACACACTTCTACCTCTCCAATCGATCTGAAATTTTGCACACTCGCGTAAAGTTGGAGACAATGCATGAATCAATTGAAAGAATGAATAATTTTGAAGATTTAGAAAATTATATTTTTAATATAAAAAAAATGAAAAAATAATTGTGTCTGCTACATATCTTATAATCGATATTTAACTCTGATCTCAACCTGTCAAATCGAACTGAAATTTTGCACACTTGCGTAAAGTCGAAGACAATGCATGAATCAATTGACAGAATAAATTATTTTGAAAATTTTAAATTAATTTCAAATTTTAAAAATAAAATTTAAAAATTATTTTTTATATATTTGATAATAAAATTAAAAATTCATTGTACATGTGTAACATGGGAGACACTGGATTCTTTGGAAGTGTTGTCTTTAAAAAGTAATTTTTAATCGCATATTATTACATCTGTGAACTAGTCTAGAAAAGTACAAGAATCGGCCACAGGTCTATTCGTCAACGATGAAGATACTATACTTACTAAACTAATACTCTTACTACGTCTTCTGTCTGAAGGGCATTGTAATGTGACATACTGTAAGTTATTACAACGTTGGCTCACTTACTGAGGCCACCAGTGTGCACTGTGCACGTGCGACGGGTGCGTTCGTGTCACTGAGACAGATTTCATTTACACGTGACTCCTGGTAGAACAATAGGGAGTGCTACAGTTCTTATGAAAATTTAACTTGGATTCTTCTTGAACGAACAAGGAAGTTGATTGGAGTCAATCCATAACTTACAGAGAAGTTCGAAACAAATGACCGTCAGGTCTTATTATACTGTGAAGGCTCAAATTAACAAGAGTAAAACTTGATAATTAGAGAGTAAGGGGGTCATGCCTTCCCCCCTTCTACAGTATCAGGCGCATTCTCAAATTGTTATTCGAAGTGTCGCCAGGTCAACGGCTTAAGAACTTAAACGCGATTGGATTCAAGCCTGGCGCGGTGCGAGATTAAAATTTTCATTCAGGCACGAGCCTCGATTAAATGACACGCTTCAATACGCTTTAATTTACACGCTCGGCACATTGCAATATGCTTTACTCGTAAATATCTGTAACATGTCTCCAGTACGTTATACATGTGAATATCGGTTATGTATTTCTATACATATTACATGTAGATAGCTATAACATGTCTTCAATTCTGATTATTAGTGTCTCATATGTTGGCAATCATTATATATGCATCGGATTGAACGTATAACACTTGCAGATTAATGAAATTATTTTGGTTGTGACTAAATCCTTTAACGACTTATTTTAGTTTCCTGTCGGCTGCTGCTCAAGCTACCATAAGAAATTCAACTACGTTGATCGTTGGCAAACACGTCTCGGACAAATTTACCTCCATACTTGCGGCCGGTCTCACGGCCAATCTCCGAATTCAGCGAACACATGCGGCAAACCAGGATATTTAATTGTTTTATTCTTCTTAAGAATGTTGCGTCTTTCAGTTACACAGGCTCATTTATTATTCAAAAGTTTAAGAAATTATCTTTTCCAATGCCGTACTGACTAATTCTAGACCGTTATTTTACCTGTAGTATTGCGAATGCGTAATTAATAATCAATAACTACTAAGAAACTAGAAAAATCAAATGGAATGTAGCAGAGTACGCAGCCCGCTGGTCTTTTCTTACCAGGGATCGTGCTGGTGACCTGTTGTATTCTTCATAGATTTTCTCATTAATTATTTCAACGCTATTCAGTGCACAGAGATCCTGCTGTTGTGTATTTTATTGGGTTCATAAGTGAACAGTCCAACCTGTGATTCTACGATTTCGTTGAAGCGTCTCTAAGCTTGTGGTACAGTTACCTTAGATTGGAATTTCTTGTCAATTTATTTACATGTGAATGAATATCTTTCGCGTGTAACAGTAATTAACTCTTAAGGTGATAAGTTACCTGCAAAGCAAATGTGCCTTCTGTTCAGCAATTTTATTTAAAGTCCCTAAATTAATTTAATTTAAGACGTTTGTGGATTAAAGATCTTTTGCGATTTATGAATTTTCGTTGCTTAAAATGGTGGCACCGTTTCTCGGCGCGATGGTCAGCCTTGTTAATAGCACAACTATGGTTGACTGGCCTTTAGATACGAATATCATTGACGACGAGTAACGTATCCGTAGAAATAGCATTGCGTTCATTCGCTCCTCGCACGTACTCATCAATCCATTGAAGTCCATGCCAACCCTTTTGAGGCATCTGACCTTAACCTTAGAATTCCAATTCAAGGTGGATTATATCTTTATTGTGGTGTAAAATAGGCGTCTAAATTCAGATTTTTTTAAATACGAAGGAAATCAGTTCCAGTATTTTCACTAAAGCATCAGCAGTTCATAAGTAAAGTGTCCGTCAAAAAAGAATCTTCGGCCCTGGCATTGTCTACCTTCCCAACATTAATAAACCTCTAAATGCACTAATTTCATTGTAGTTATTGGGAAGATCAAAAAGTTAATTTATACATTTACAAAACTATTCAATATGCTCACCTTCAGATGCACGGCATACGTATTTCAATGCGGTGTCCAAATTCGACCTACACTCCAGCAGCATGTTCCGCGTTACAGGTTTCAATGATGCCGTTTCACAATTTGATGCCGTTAACAGTTGTTACAAGCTCACATTACGGAAAATTCTGATGACAAAACGCATTTTAAAGTCCAGTCGCTATTTCCACTAAACAGAAATGTACGTTCATAAGAGTACACTGCTGCCGTCAGTCGGAAATATTGTGAGAAAGTTTTTATACAAGCAAGTTTTCTATTCCTAACAGTACGTCGTTGAGCGTCCAGCTCAAATTACCAAATGGTTCTGATCATATAAAATATGATGATTCTCATCTGATTCAACATATTGAAATTCAGCAATAAACCTAATAAGCATTCCATTCCTTAACCTGAATCGCCCAAGTTCACAAACACCTGAAGACAAGTTTGAATACGAATATAATCTCGTTTAACGATGTTAGTTCTGTTAGTATTAGATTTTCATTTTTGAGAGTCGATTGCATTTCTTTCTCGTAGCTGGCGTGCCTACAGCAATAAAAACTTAACGTACAATTAGTCGTAGTTCAACTTCTGACGCTGGTTAAATCTAATCAATAGTCAGGCTTCATCAGGATCACTAATACACATCATTACAAAAATTTATTCTGGCCAACACTTATAATTACCTTTGAAACGGAATGTAAAAAAAATTATTCCAAATATCTATGGAGTAGACCACGTAGATTATTTGCTGATTTAAGTAGTTGAATCCTGGGACGTTATAAAGCCTAACTGAGATATTTTCGTTTGGTTGCGGTGGAACTAATGACGAAGAGCTTAACTTCCTATATACTTATTACTTTTTGCGGTACAAGAGGATAAAGGCTCCCTGAAAACCACATTAACTGCGATAATTATGCTCTATCATATAAAATGTATAAAAGGTCCTAAACCCTACGTACTAAATACTATTGTCACAATTGTTCCGGCCATAGTTATTATTGTTTTTGAAATTGCTGGTGTCGAGTAGACTTGGCTACTCGACAAAAAAGGTACCTTTTATCGCACAATTGATGTAAAATGAATGTGATGGATGGCTTTATCCGTGTACTTTATTTACTTCTATCCGTTGTCTTGAAGCCACTGAATTGTAATACGCAATTTGGCTCAATTATTTTCAGGGCCTGTAGCAGTCGCTGGCGTTCGGTAGTTTTCGATATGAACACTTTAATTTTTTGCGATTCTTGCTCGAAGCAGAAATAAAGTTCTTTTTTAATATAAAATTGCGATGACGGGTATTGGGCCAGTTAATGGCCCGTTATTTCCTTCATTGTTTTGAAGGTTGCGTCACTTGCGGGTGCGTCGGCAGGTGGTGCGTCATCGCCATTACTGACGTCGTCTTCGTATTTAGGAGCATCATCATTTGAAAAATCATCATCGTTTTTTTAAGATTTTTCAGATTTACTCCAATCTTCATGTTGACTATTATCGCACGAATTATTCTCTTCACTTTCTTCATCGGTATCAGTATCTTCATCTGAATCGTCTGTGTTTTCATTGCCACTGCTTCTTGAGTCTGAATAAGTATCTACTTGGCTATGGCTTGCACATACCCGATAACAACTGGCATTAGTTAGTCCGGAATTGTTTTGCGTCTTTACGTGAATAGTGGCATCGGCATGGACCCCGGACGGTGGTATTCGTTGAGAGGCACGCTCCCAGCCAGGCGTTCCTTCAACTTCTCTGGGAACAGTTCCTTCGTATATCATGTCATAAAATTCAGAGCCTATAATATATAGAATAAATTCTACTAATTTCTTGTGTAATGTATTGTTAGAAAATGAGTAGCCTACATAAGAAGAAAATATTTTGTTTCTTCTATTATTAAAAGCTTTAAATGTTATTGCCATTCTTATTGAGCAATTTCAATGTCAAATTTTACATCAAAGTCACTGGGTAGTTCATTACTTGCCTTTTTCTGATGAAAATGTTTTGCTCCTGTTTAAGTTAGCAATAATTAAGCACGAGCTGCCGACGAACCAACTAAGTCAGATATTGATTTATTTTGTTTATACGTTGTGAAGTGAGTAATGTGATGTGCTTCACTACTCGTTACTAACACTGACCTCAGTCTTGTACTTTAATTCTTTTGAAGGACGATGTAGGTAACGTTTCTGCGTCTAAGTTATTAAGATAAATAGAACTGTAATGACCACCCGTAGATAATCTGCCACGAAAAGACATTGTTAGCTACACTGCCTACATATAATAATCATAATAATTAAATAAAAATCCTTTTCACATCCGTAAGTCAAATTTGAAATTTTAATCGTAATTATGTGATGTATGATTCGTTAGCTTAAAATTTGTAAGCCTAACATTACGTGTTGCATGTTACGAAAACTACAAAAGTGGAAAACTAACTATTTATTTTAAATGATAGTATCTTGACTCATTGGTAAGCCAAAATTGTTGTGAAGTAACTTTGACGTGAACGATTGAAGATACGTAATCGATATGTTACACATAAAATTTGAAGTCCCCTTAACATATCAAAATGGCAGCAATGATGTAGAACAAATTTATTCATTTTTTGCAATAATTTTAGTATTTTATGTTTATACATAATCCTTAAAGTGAATGAAGGGCGAGATGTGCTAAAAGGGAAGTCTGGAATGCGTAAGTCGAAAATTAGATGTTGAAAATACGAACAAGGCAATGCTTAACTGCAATTATACATAATAACATAGCTCTATCACTTTCTATTCATTTTTGAAAAATTCCACAACATAAAATAGAAATCAGCAAATGGGATAATCTGCACTTCAATAACCACAATTTAAAGTAGCGAATTATCAGCAATATTTGATAATTACAACTGATAATAATAATTATCAGTTGTAATTATCATAATATAATAATTATCAGCAGGCACAAAACTCACTCATAGTTCTGTATCATTCAGAATTTATATTAAACTTTATTATTCAAGCAACTAATTGATACGAGCCAGGGACTCATCGCCCAATTGCCGTTGGCATTTTAGTGCTTATCAAAGATCCGTTCACAAAACCCCTCTGTTACCCTTTAGCCCGGCTTCAAAGCGATCAACTCAACTCCTTAGAGGAAGCAACTGGAGCGGTAGTAAGTGAAGGTAAAACGGGAGAATTACTAAAGCTACACTTGGGAGCGTTAATACCTTTGATGGTTACACGTGTTCCTCATCGCAAGTCCGTACGCCGCGNGAAGCAACTGGAGCGGTAGTAAGTGAAGGTAAAACGGGAGAATTACTAAAGCTACACTTGGGAGCGTTAATACCTTTGATGGTTACACGTGTTCCTCATCGCAAGTCCGTACGCCGCGGAGGTTCTTACGAGACATAGAAAGCGTGCCGTCCATAGCGAGTCAAAAACTCGCGTTATGCTAGGTAGGGATATTAATACAGACTTATCTCAAATGTTCATTGCTTTGCATTCTAAACTTAAGACCTAGACAAAGTGTTCATTGATCGGTATCTCTTAGGATTGTCCTTTCCATTTTTTATGATTATTGTGAATAATTTAAATCCCTCGTTTGAAATGTAGCAAAATCTCCAACTTCCATGGATAAGCGATGTTTGTCTGAAGCTAACTGGTAGTTGGTTTGAAGTCAAGTTGAGAATTTGGCCAGTTGCAATCCGCAACATTTCCTGCAATTCGATGTGGGCAACCTTCCTAATTTCTTCAATTCAGAATTTGGAGATTAAGGCCAACTCAGATTTAAACTCAGTCCCAAGACGGAACGCCCGGTAGTCCCCGTTTTACCAACAACGGAGTCACACTCTGCCACTTTCTTGGATCAGGCAAAGTTCAATAATGTCGGAAGTGTCGTCGTCACTCGTCACTAGCGTAGGAAGGGCAGTTTTACATTATAGGTGGAGTATGGCGTAACGTCGCCTTCAATTTAGCTTCCAGGGTCTGGTTATTTAATAATAATTCGTAGGTGCGATGGGTATCATTTTGATTAAGCAGCTTAGAGGAGTCATTCGTCTCGTTATTCGCTATTTGCAGCAGGATTCTAGCAGACTTTTCCCTCTCTGTTGGTATAATAATTTTGTAGTACAGTATCTTGATCATCAGGAAAATTATTGACAAGTGCGTCTAGCCTGCTACGTTTGCAGCGTTTCCTAGGAACCGACCAAAGTTAACCGGTATGGAAATGCTCTTCAGTGATTGGAACCCGACTTATATTCTTCAGTTCGCAGCCGACTTCGAATGAACTGTTGAAATACCTCAAAATGGGACACGTTACGTGCAAATCTTTCGATACTTTAGCCTTAGGCGTATGTATGTAAAATATAGATATTAGTCTCTAAATTTATTTTGTATTCGTAATGTCCTGGGACGACATGGATTCGAAAACTTCTAAAGTAAAAGATATTGCGCAGTTGGTCTCGTTCTCCATTGCGTTGACGAGACATTACTGCTTTAGGAGCGTATATATATATATAGTCGTGCACCCCAAATTTTGTGCATCAATCGGCCCTGAATGCCTAGCAAGTTTTCGTAAGACCACTAATCAGCCGCCGATATTAAGAGCTTTACACCTCCATACATGGGTGCGAATAGCCTAGATTAGTATGATCGGACGAGCGAATAGCCTCGAGGGTAATTTCTCCGACCGCGAACGAGCAGAAAAGATGGCAGCAAGAGCAGTACATTAGTAATTCAAATTATTATGGTTGATACAGTAAATTTTGAGTCTTCCTGTAAGAAGCATTTAAATGGAATCACTAAATGAACAAGCTAGTCTCTCAAGCTGCGGGCATCCAGAAGTCTGCTTATTGCCCAGTACACGCACGGCAGCGGTGACAACGACGAAATTTTGTGCTGGTCTCAGCGCGATATCACGTCACGGCCATGCACAGTTGACTATTCATTATTCAGGTGGTGTGAACGTCAGGGAGGCAAGATTCCCGCATCTTTTTCTTACTTTGTCTTCAGTTGCGTCTGAAACTGCCGCCTAATGTCTTCGTGCCAAGTATGGAATGTATAACGTCCCTACCAGGGACGCATCTTTGTACTCGACAAATATCTCAACATCCTTCATCATGCATAGGGTACATTTCCAAGCTGCTAACTTCTTCTCAAGCGTTTGTGAAACTAACTGGTAGCTCTGCGCACGGTGCGCAGTGATATTCTGTCTTTACGGACTACGGTAGTAACACAGTCCCTGAAAGCTGGCACTGGGGATTTGTCGGCTTCGAAATAGTTGAAAAAATTGGGAAGGTTTCGTGGCGATATTATTTTTTAAATGGGTCAACGTGGTACAACTTTGATCAACCTCGTCCACTAGGTAGATTAAGTTTGTAATTCAACATCGAAACAACGTTTGTAGTTCGATGTGCTGAGGAAGGAGTTTTCGGCAGCAAGCTTGGCCGACCCTTCCGATTTGGTTTGGAGACTATTACGTACAGGAGGATAGAGCAGTCAGAAGGTATGAATAAACATTTTTATGAACAATTGGAACTTTAAATTATTGCCTCTATTTGAAGTGTAAACTGCTGTCTTCCTCTTCGGCACCGCTTGTCAGCTGCAATAACATCGGAAATTGTCGGGCTTCAGCCACTCTTGCCGTCTCTTCCTTGTTGGTCATAGTGCCGTAGGTCCTCTATTTGTTGCTTCAGCTCTGCTTCAGACGCTATACAGCGCCTGCATGGACACAATCTGCACAGAATGCGTGCGTTACTCTCGGCAACGGTTAAATTGCAAATTATTATTCACAGGAGAATAAATCAGTAAGAAATAGATTCAGAACATGAAGAAAAGCTCTTGCCTAATGAAATGGATTCTTCAGCTTCTAGTTCTGTAGAAAACTCTGATGGAGACAACGATGATGATGACTACATACAATCAAGAGATGGAACAAACTGGAAGAAAAAAGCCCCTTTCACTAACCGAAGAACTTCGAGGCAAAATACTCTGCGCGTGGCACCTGGACTTACTGGCATCAGTAAAATAAAGATATGCCAAATGCCAATAAGTGGATTGGAAAAGTATCATGAATATGATAATTACTTATTAAGAAAAGAAGACAATAGAATATAGTATCCAATGTAATCACTTGCACAAACTGTAAGGTTAAACTATTCGTATCCACTATGGAACTTAACTATTCGTTTCTGGAAGTTTGATTTCGTTCATATAAAAAGTTTGGAATGTTAACATTCCTAAGTAACGCTTCAAAATGGTCAAACTAGTATTTTATTCATTACTATTGATGAAAAGACTATAAAATGAAGCATGAATGTCGTCTAATATATAGTAAACGTCAAAGTCAATTCATTCATCAATATGTGTGATAGTCACGATAGATCAAAGCCATTGCTATGTGTGAATGAGGTTACGATATAGAAGTAAAACCTACCGCTTTATTTTTCTTCACTTTATTCGCCTTGTAGGCGTATTCGAGAGTAGATTTGGTTTCCTCCATGTTTGAGGAGGCCGGTGAAACCGTGGCTATGAGTGCCGTCTTCTAATTACCGCCAAGACACTGGCGCATCAGCATTGTCAACTTGCAGTCTCTGTTGACAAAAAAAGAAAATTGAATGTCATCCAATGCATAAATATAGAGTCTCTGTTGACAAAAATGATAATTTTAGATGAAGAATATTGAAAAATACTTAAAAATATTACAGGCAAATCATTATACCTATAACCGAACATAGTCACCTATATGGTACGTGAGACGCACCTGCAACTAAAGATTGGACGACCCGTCCCAAGCTGGACAGTGTGCCATTAATGCTGATGGTCTCCCTGGCCGGATGCTGGTCCATTTTTTCGGACCCGGCAAGGTCGACAAGACGAAGGAGGCCAGTCTGATGGTCAGAAATTAATGACAATAAGTAACTATGGTGAGAAAACAAAACAAAGGGTTTAGTCACTTAAAAAAGGTGCAACAAAATCTTGCATAAGAAACATATGCATAAGAAACATACCGGTATAACATCTCAATATATGAGAAAACCCGAAACATATAAATCTAATAACTTTATTTTTACCTTTGACAATTCTTCTTCATCCTTGGTATTCATGCCAAAAATTACAGTGAAGATGGTGTGGGACCGACTGGACTGTTGATTGAGATGTGTCCGCCCCTTTCGGCGCCTGTCCGCCCCTTTCTGGAGAAGGTCATGGACCATCGCTTCAGAGTTTACTAACTTTTCCGTTAGCCCTTGAATGATCCAATGATCTTTTTGGTCTTCAGTCAATCTGGAAAAGGAAAAGTACGTTCATATATTGGCAGTTATCAGATGTCAATTAAATGTATAAGGCAAGTACAAGTAAGTAAGGCATGCACCGGTTGACGTGCCATTACTACCCTGAGCTGCTGTTCAATATTACGCTTCAATGTATTAAATATTTTATTATGTCCAACATATGTATGTTTTCCACTGTACCTCACTATCTCGACATTAGATTCAAAGAAGTATATACAGCATAGAAACGCACCTCAATTTAGGGGGGTCACCTTGAGCAGATAGAAGGTCGTAGGCTTCATCGAGATACAACTCGATGAAGCTCACTTGCATAGTGAACTCGAGCTTTAGGATTCGTAGCTGGTCAAAGAGGTGGTTGACACACCGCGGGATTACTCCAGCTGATGGGCCCTGCAAAAGAGATTGTTCAGAAAATAATGCAGGGGTAAGCATGATATCAATGAAAATACAGGGTCATCAATATTTAGCGTTACACTGTTTTTTCAAAATCAATACACTCGCAAAACTGTCAAATGTGCCGTATGGAACCATGTCGACTGTTCTCCGGAAGGACCTAAAGTTGTCCCCATTCAAGCATGTCAAAAACATCAACTGTCTGCTCAAGTTGTTGACAAACGCCTCCATAGATCCAAGATTCTTCTTTCCCGCATTCATGATGGCACGCTCCCAAACCTCGTTTTTAGTGATGAGAAGATATTCAATGTTGAACACCACTTCACCTCCCAAAATGATCGAATTTGGTCGAAGAATGGGACGATGGATCCCGTGTGGTGACTAGGAAGCAATGCCCGACCTCAGTGATGGTCTGGGCAGCCGTAACAATTCCCTCAAGGAGTCCCCTCTTTTTTTGTTGACAAAGGGGTGAAATTGAATCAGAAGAACTATCGAGATGCCATCCTTGTTGGTGCATTGTTGCCCTGGGCACGAAATGGCGATGATGCACGTCTTGGCCGTGCCACCAAGCGAGTCTTGGAGGATCATCGTTAAATTGCAGTCTCTGTTGACAAAAATAATTTAATGTCATCCAACGCATAAATAGACTAAATGTATTTGGATGAAGAATGCATGGAATATTACAGGCAAATCATTAAACCTAAACTTTTTACTGAACATAGTCACCTATAAGGCACATGAGACGCCCCTCCAACTAGCGACTGGATCACTCGACCGGGTGGGGATAATATCTCGTGGGGATAATATCCCCACCGGGTGGGGATAATATCCCCACCCCTATCCCCACCTTGAAATTAACTTTATCGCTAGCTCCGGGTAAATTTACTTGCAGCAATTAAGCCTCGTATTTTCAAAACGCGCCATCACAACCACGCTGCTCAAACGAAAAGAAAACAACGACAACAGTGACGCTGGTAATCAATTGATGGCTCATATTCAGTCTTCAGAGCGCGACGTATATCGACAACAAAAGATGTCATATTGACAACATCTTATGTGGCTAGCACGTAACATCAGTCTCTCACATAATACGTTTTGCTGACACTATGTCGCTTCGTTTCACTGACACTAAGTCTCGTTTATTTCCTGACATTTCGTCTCCTTATGCGTCGCGGCCACGCGATGAAACATACCAACGACGGCTTTACCCTCTCAAATTCGTATATTAGCCACGATTCTGTGACAAACAGTCCATTTTAGTCTTGGTCGGCGACCAATATAGACCTCTCGCTAGCATCTCGTTTTTCTGCAACCAAGTAATTACTCATGTCGATTGATAATATTGATTTTCTATAACAATTTTAACTTCATGAATAGATCATTTAATTCTGTATGATATAAATTGATCGATCACGTAAATCACGTATTCCGGAAACTGTCACGTGAAATTGAATTGTCATTACCTTAAGAAGGTGCTCCTATTCTATATTATTGAGTACTACTATACCACAGCACTCTTGTATTATGTTGCGTCATTCCACCGTCTTTACGAAAATTGTTGTTATTTCAGTCGTCCACGGACAATAGCGACATCAGAGTCCTGGACGTCCCCAACCCATCGGTCCTTGTTGAACGGCGCAGACGATAACCTACGTCGGCGTCGAACAACTCGGCCCCTAAATTTTATGTGAGTGGGTCCTGTTTAACAATATTTCGACCTCACAGTCTTTACGTGCACCGATTGTTGAGCAACGGCTGGTCATTAACCAGGTAGGTGCGCCACTATGTACGTGTTCATAGCGATCGCATTTGGACTCCTAAGTCTAGTGATCTTCACATCCTACCGACCACGCGCAGCCGCTCCCGATCCCGTCCCGGCCGACGTGCGACGTGACGACAGAGATGATCACTGGAGAGAGCTGGATAGTCTCCACGCCCGCGTTTAGGCGTTGGAAGAGTTGGCGGCGGTCACCAACCAAATACCGGTGCATATATCGAATCCACGCCTCGATGTCACTGCCTCACCCTGCGCCAGACGTCCCGGCTACGACGGGTCTCCGTCGTGACGCCCCTGCACACTCCGGATCGCCCCGTCATTAGGCACGGGAGTGCCAATTGCCCCCCCCGTGAGGGAAGGAGAGCCGCTCCCATAGCTCCCACCGGCCGCGAGGTGACCCCGTTGGATAGTGACTCCAACGAGTCCCTCTATGACGACTCCATAAGGGACCCCTAAAAAACGGTTGCCGGCAGGTCTTAATACATAGGTCTTTAATAATACTTATATATGCTTTATGTTTAATAACCATATCTGTTCCTATTATATATATAAATCCTGTAATGAAATATATTGATTGGCATCTTGTGAACCACCAGGTTATTTGACCTAGCCTAAATGTTCTCAACTTCTTTTTAAATCAAAGCAGAATTAACGTAAAAATATATTACGTGAGTGTCGACCTAACGTAAAGTAATTGATATTATCGGATCCACCCACATAATGGGTTCATATTCTGTGTTAGTTTTTTTTATATTGTAAAATTCTAATGCCTCTGAAACCTCCGAGCTGGATTCAAACGTAACGTCACAAGAGTCGACGCCCCGCCTGTTGTCACCGGCGCCAGACTGCGAGTCACAAGGCCGCGCTACTCCCGGCTCAAGGCTCTACAACAAGACGTCACTCGCGACGTCACCGAACCTGACGAGGCCATGACGGACATCACCCCATACCTTCCCTTGGTACACCCTAGTACCTCTCATCGGTACAGCACGACCGGATGAAGTTCGTCGACCTCATCCGAGCGGCCCATACGATGAACTTCCGTCGCCAATGGATACCTTCGCGAAATGGAAACTTCTTCAATTTATACCTTAAAGCTTTGCCAGTGGCCTATATCAACACCACGGCCTGTATCCATGCCTATATTCTTCTTATACTAACTAGGTTAAGAACTATCGTCAGACTGAGGTAACGTCTCGTTCTCTATAGCCTTCAGGAAGATTCCTTCTCTAAGAGTCCCAGTTCGTTCATTTACTCTATCCTCCTTCACGAAAATTATTTAAAATGTTGTCATTTAAAAGTAACCGCCGGATGGATTGAAACATACATAGGACTTTCTTTCACTACTAGGATGGACCCAGGATTACTAATATTGTAAGATTCTGGTAGGATCGCGGACGATATTGTACCCCCCCGGGGATGAAGGTGTAAGGATAATTATCAGCTGTCATTTTGTATTCCGCATTCAAACGATTTCTTCCTGGTTAGAAGATAGTTCCTCCATCCCGATGTTTATAAACATATCCACGTATTAGCCTTCCTTGTTTCACCCGGTAGGAACTCATTACCTTGACGATACCTATATAACATGCTGTAATCCCGGAAGCATTTCAGTATGAACCCAAGACGATAAGCGTTAACGTTCTGCTCCTAAAGCTCGCTAATACCTATAATCTGTACGCCGATATATTCTCACTAAGTATAAGTATCTAATCTGTACTTAACTTGTGCCTCATTTATCCTCATTTAAGTCAAGGCACCAGAACCTGCCTCAGGTAGTTAATAACTAATTAATACGCTTAAAACGTGCATAGAAAAGCACGGCGTACGTACGAAACACAAAATCGTACAGATCAGAGTGACCTGATGAATACCAATGCGACGGCAACGAAGCTGCTAAATTTGGTGTCATTTTTGCCTTACTAGCAAACTTTATAATTATAAATTAAAGCCAAAGATATTTCAGTTATATTTAAGTTGGTAAACTTTATCAAATTCATATGCGCATCTACTGTATACTGTCATAGTAATGTGCAGGGCACCAAATATCTAAAAAATTGAATAATGATGCGCGGAAACATGCAATTATCCGCATACAACATACTGATCATTTAAACTGTGGAATCTCACTCAGGCTCAGCTCGACTGGTAGCAGCTACTGCAGCACTGCATGGTGGACTTCTGGTGTCTGTTGCTGGTAGCAGCTACTGCAGCCTGATTTAAATACGAATGATTTAAATAGCAATATTTGCTTAAATTTGCAGTGATCAAAAGAATTTTTTTTTTAGAAAGAAACTAAACAACAGAACAGAACAGAAAGAAACTACTGAACAGATCTGAACGAAACGTATATGAATACCTAACGGCCAAAAAGTGATAATAATTTGTGAATAAATCAGTTTTCAAGGGTTATGGTTCGTAAATATTTCGGATGGATGCAAAACAATAAGTGAACGCCAAAGTATTTATTAACAAATAATTAAAGATAAGTATCATAGGACAATTAATTAGAGTAAGGACGCAACGCTATACAAAATAAAGAGGGAAGCACAGAAATAGTAAACGTGATCAGCTAAGTTACGTCTTCATATCAGCAATTACGCCATACGTAAGTCGCTACGAGTACTTAGCGATGTTCTGATAATCCGGCCCCAGAGGTTAGGGGACGGGAGGTTCGGCCACATATGTCCGACATGTCAAAAAACAGATTAGTTAAATAAGCACGGTTTGCCTGGACTTCACTTGCTATTTCATATAGAATTATCGATTTTAAATCGGTTGAAGGTTCAAGCAGGTTACGGAGCTCACCTGTCCAGTGTGGAAGAACGGGATCAAAATTTAGCAGAGAGCCTAGCGTGGAAGTCAGTATCGGGATGAAAGACAATGTGTTCAATAAAACTGGATCGCATGCCCTTACACGACTCCCCTCAAGAAAATTGAGAGCGTGCCTTAAGATTTTAACTAAAATTAAGGGTATGTGGTTGCCCGAATGACAATTATTGCAATACCCAAATCAACAGAGGTTACAAGATACTAACACTAACTTAGAAATTCTGAAGAAATAGTATATATAAACAACAAAACTACTAAGAAGCAAGACGAACGAAACGCGTAACAAAGTTGATCGTAGTTAAAGTAGTTACTCTTCGAGTAACGGCTGAGTACATCAGCTCCCACGTCCCCCCCTGGGATATAAATGGTTCCGAAACGGTGTGTGATGAATCTTGGATTGCTATGCAGGATCTACCCGACCTCTGTTCGTAATTCCGGTGTTCACAACGAGTTTAAATCTTCTGCCTTGATCTGACTCCAAAAGA